ATCCTGTCTCTAACTTATGGCCACTTATGTGTTTGAAATTTCTCTACGACATACTCTTTGGTTACACTCAAACCTTTTAACGTGTTATATTTGGATAAAATCATATGGAGTTGTTCACCTTTATACTAGTCATCTTTACCGGTACTGTAACCTGGAAAATTCAATTATACAAGTTATCTTCTTTTGACGACGTCGGTCCAAAAACCAACGTCGCTCAAACTAGAGGTTACGGTCTCGATGGCCAAGACAGCTATATGTAGGTCTTAAACGGAATTTTGAACCTAAATTTAAATTTCAATTATAAAAAGTTCCTTATTCAGGACAAAGAAGCGAACTCCGGTCCTTTTCCCCCGATCAGGTGACACTGAAAAAATTGGACACGATCCTACTACCACTAGACTACATATACTTACGTGACGGTTGATGGACTCGTTGTGATCTACTGCGCATAGTAGTCACGAGACTCTAAACAGTGTTTAACATTTCGTGAATGGAGTAGTGACATGTGACATATGGTTCCGTTCCAAATGGTAGTGAGTGACATGCCTCCAGTCATGACCATGTGAAAATAGATATCATACAACCCTGTTTGAGGGCATAATATAGACAAGTAAGCTTTCGTCTTCAACGTTCCGCTGATAAAGACCGCTAGCGTCCTAGTTCAGAAAATCTACACGGTTCGTCATTCCCTGACAGAAATCCCTTGCAGTCGAAAATACACGCGTCGAGGTGAACGAACCTTTGTCGATGTCCGTTTTGTAACTTAACTCGTAAAAAATTAAAGAGACTTACATAAATTCGTGCATGATTTACTTTACGAAAAGACTGTAACCATTAACGGCATGTTGGAGCTCCTGCCCCCCACCCCCCCCCTCCCTGTGAGTGCTCGTTGCTGCAGGAGCAGACAGGCTTCCGTGTCAGCGATACAGCGAGAACAATAGAAACTCATCCGGAGCACACACAAACACTCACAGCCGAAGTAAAAACAATAAGTGTGGCTTGATATTGAGTAAGAAAAAGGTTTATAACGCTGTGAGAATGGGTCTGCGGAGAGCATTTCTCCGCGATCCCAACTTAGTAGCCCGAAAAACGTTTACCCATTTAAACAGTCGAGGTACATACCTTGTTTCTTTTAGACATCATAAATACACAAACAACAATGAATACTTACAGGTTGTATACCCGAATCTCCCGCTGGTCCAAACAAAGTAGGAACAGCATCGTTCTTCAGTGCCCTACGCTGTACATATCCGGCATGAATCGCTGAAAGGTGTGGGAAGCTTTGTTTCGTGAAAGGCTGGCAGAGGGTGTGGCCTCTTGGTATTCCCACGTCAGAGTACCGTTTACATGCAGAAAAACCTTCATAACACACAAGGGGACTGGTAATAACCGGAAAAGCATGACATGGCACCTTTAATCCATGTCATATCATTATGTTTGAAGGAAAAGATTGTGGTTTGCATTAAATAACTACGCAAGTAAGGGTATTTAAGTATGGAAGCGACTAAAAACAATTACGAGTTCAAACAGGAATTAAACAGCTGTGTGATGGCTGAAAGCCACTCATACTTTCTAGTTAACCTACAATACGATACGATAAAATGACACGACATGATATAATACAATATGATGTGACAATTACGTGAAAATATTTAAGAATGGATTTTGGATACACAGAAAATGACAGGGCATTACATTTTTAATCTATAGCTGAGATCATTGTATAAGAACAGCCAAAAACAGTACAATGACTACATCTTATTACACATCATCCTATCTGACATCAGTACATATTAGCAATACATTTTGCAAAGTAAAAAAAAAAATAACAAAAGAGAGAAGAAGTATTTCGACTTGATCATATTGTATCTTTTAGGCCAAGTCCTCACTTTTCCATTTCAGTTCAAACTAAGTTCGATCAGGTCTCCTACTCAGGAACGTACGTAAGCATCACTCACCCTCTCCTCCCTTCCTCCCCTCTCCTCCTCTCTTACCATCCCATCCTCTAATTCAAAGCATCTTGTGGGGTTACTGCATTGAAGAGAAGGATGTGGCTGAGGCAAATAAAAGAATCATAACAAAAGGATCAAAGCAGTTCTCCAAATGTATTCCGTCCAGACATGGTGACTTTCGCATG